TTAAGAAACTAGAAGTGCCCCTGACAGGCAATGCATAAAATAGAAACTAAAAAGTTCGATAAAATGTGACATTTTAAATAGACTCTGAAACAAAACGAACAAACCTAGTATTTCTTTTCGGTTTACAACTGGTTATTACTGGCTTAAAACACAGGCAAAGACTCCAGTTGAGAAACACTAAGTAGTTGGCTATATTTTAATGTGTAAAATTGTACAATATATGTACTAAACGTTGTATTAGCCTACAGACTACAGCTATCTCATCCCTGCTTGCATCCTTGGTGTCTATTATTAACTAATGTTCTTTTAGTTGCAAGAAACAGAAAGCAAACTCCGCCTAACTTAGGCAGGAAAAGGGGGGTGGAGACTTATTGGAAGGGTTCCCTGGGTGGCTGATGGGCTTGAAGAACCACCGGTTCAGGAGACCTAGACACAATGTCTCAGCCACCGGGACCCTCTCTTTCTGAACGCCTGCTTCCCTCTCACACTCTTCCATGAGGCTATGATGGAGGTTGCCAGCATCAGCAAACCCTTTCTGTCTTCCTTTCCTGAGAGGAAGTTTGTTTTCATAGATCCAATTAGAAAGATCCCAGGGAAGGCTGCCAAGCAGTTCAGCTTGGGTGACCTTCCCATTTCAGGGACCAGTCTCTGTGGCCAGGGAGACAGGGGGTGCACAGTGGGACTTGGCAGCTCCCCTTCGGAGCAAGTGAGCAGTGCAGAAGCAGAGCGGTTCCCCCAGAGGAGTGGTGGGCATTCCCAGGTGAGAGCAAACGTCCTTCCCAACAAAAATTAAAGCGCCGTTGGAAGCCTGCAGAGATGGATCCCCTTCTGTGGGTTGGCCTTGGTAGGCTGGTCAATTCCAGACTCTGCATTTACAAGTCTCTTGCTTTAGGCTTCTTGCTGTCCAGAAACTGGTTAACTGAATTATCTAGATCTGTGTTACTAAAATGAGATAATGATGTGCCCAGGCCGGGAAGCTCATGTGGTTGGAGTATCAGCCCATACACCAAAAGGTTGTGGGTTTGATCCCCAGTCAGGGCATGTGTGAGGGATGGTAAATCAATGCTTCTCTCTCCTATCGAGGAATCTCTCTCTCTTCCCCTTCCTCTCTCTCGAAAATCAATGGGCACATCCCTGGGTAAGGATTTAAAAATAAAAAATACAAATAAAATGAGATAACAGTTTTATCTGAATTAAAAAGGCAAACATAATATTATCTTTAAGAAATCAAAACCCTCCCATTGCACCTTTCAGGTTGAACTGGCCTGATGTGCTGGTGAACAAGAACCTCTTCCACGTGACCAGCTGGGAACTACAAGCAGACGTCCTACTTGGTGGACGAACTAGTAGGCTTCTAGAACTAGGCTTCAGAACTAGACTGGCTTCTAGACTAACATGTCTTACGTGAAAGACAAATGTGTCAACAAATAAGTGCAGCCCGCAGACCAGTGTGTGATATTTGGCTTTATTTTATAAAAATACACAACTTAAATACATATGACACTCTCTATACAAGACGTAAACTGTTAGATTTAACATTTTCAGTTATTTCAACAGAAAGCAAATAGGTAAATTACCTTGTAAGAGCAAAGAGCTTTCTTTAGAGACTCTGCACTCACAGTCAGAGGGACAGACGCCCCTTCATGCACCGAGTGCAAGAAACGAAGCCACGCTGTGCGGCTGTCCAGCAGGGCACCTCACCCACAGCGGCCTTCACTGCACGCGCAGCATCCCGCTGCTCGGTGGCGCCGTCTCGTGCGTCACCCCGCAGGTTTAGACTGTCTCCTCTAGGAGGTTTAAGGGGAAAACCAATGAACAAATAGTATTACCCATGCCTTGCAGTTGTGCCAAATGGCAATCACAAGAAGGGTGAACATCTTCTCGCTTTGCAAAACTTGCACCGGGAGGTGGTTAGCTATATTTTGCAGCTAAATTCATTTTCAAAAGTTTTACCAAACCGCTGGCAGGCTGGGTGAGCTGGAGGGAGAGCAGTGGAGAAGTGACATGCCAGCACCTACTGCAAGTGCCTGTCACCGGGGCACCGTCACTGTCAAACCCGACGTGCATGCAGCCCCGTCCTGGCTCACGTGAGCCTGCCACGCCTGCCTCCCCCGCTAGACTGTGTTCTCTGAGGAGCAGCCCCCTCATCGCTCCGGCTGCATCCTCACTGCGACTTTCTTTCAGAAATTCAGCTGCCTTATTGATGGCTCATTGAACTAACAGTGAATCAGGCTCTGGTTGATGGGTATAAAGAGATATTTACCAGTTGAGAATGCGATGCTTAAAACATACTAGAGGAAGTTCCCTGAGACGAACGTGAGCCTCAGGGAACAGTGTGTGAGCTGCCGAACTGGAGCATTTTGTGTCGGGGGCAGCATGGTACCCGAGGCTGCACCTCCCGGTCAACAGGCCACCCAAGCCAAGGGTGCGAGCACGAGAAGGAGCAGGGTGGCAAAGCTGGAGGAGGAGAGAAGTTGACAGCTGAGAACATCCACAGGAGGAGGCAGGAAAGGGGAACAGGAACAATAGGCAGGTGGTATTTTGAAGCGCCTGGGTAGGTTGGAGGACTGATTTGAAAGCCTCCAGGGATTTCCAACAAGTTTCTCAAGTATTAATTCTTGGTGACTCAGACATGGAAGGAATGACTTTTCTTTAATAACAGCTGCTCAAACTTTTTATTCTTTTTGAAAAACAAGATTCTCTATACATTTTTTTTTTAGCCGTTGAAATTATGCCGCTAGTTGTTAACTCTCACTGACGTATTCTGAAATCCTAACTGGCTGACTAATTTTAAGGTTGAACTACAAAGGACACATTTGCACCGAGAAGCTAAATTAATGTACACAGGTCTGTAGAGTCAGTATGAAGTATTACCAAAAAACTTTTCATTGCAGATCGCGCTTCATTATCATTTATATTCTCCTCAAGATTTATGAAATCAGAAAAATTCTAGGACCTTAAAGCTTCAGTTTCTTCTTTTCTTTCTTTCACATAAAGTAGCACCTGGCCATCCTCAGCATTTTCATCAAGAGGGTGCTGGGAACTGAGTCCCAAGACCTAAGAGTCGAGATCAGGCCGAATCTCAACAGGTCACTGGTACCCAAGGATGTGAATGGGGGCCCCAGAGAACCCTGTGCTCACCTGCGCACTGCAGCTGAAGGAGGGGCCAGGCCCGTGTTTAGTAACGGTGACAACTGGCACCGGCTTCTTACACACAGGTCCTCACACTCCGTGAGCTGCTAGGTTAGCTTGGGCTGGCACTGCCCTGCACGATCCCTCATTCAGGCGACTCCTAAGTTCTGCTGCAAGAACAGATCGATGTTTAATTACTGTAGGCATGATGAAGGCCTTAAGCAACGTTTAGGTCCAGGAGAACTCTGGGTTGGAGTTCTGCAGCCCCGGGGCTAGTTAAAATGAAAAGGCCAGAGGACAATCCCCTAAGAAATCCTATCTCAGATCTCAATCCACAAAGAATATTTCCGGCATCACCGAGGTGACAAGTCCTACTAGAAAACCACTCTGGTTTGTTGACAACACGCTCCACGCAGCCCCAGTGCGGCCACACAAAGGACGCGGCTTCGAGGAGGGGACGTGCCCAGAGGAACGCCCTGGGCTCGAGTTTCCTGGAAGTGGCTTTGCTCCTAAGGTGCTAAGGTGCGCTAACTGGCCATCACTATGGATGGCTGTTTAAAAGGCGGAGATAGTAACGCCTCGTGTCCTTTAGAGCCCCAATTAGTGCGGAGGGATCACAGCTGAGAATCCAGACCTCACGACGAGAGCGAGGCGGTCAGGAGCCACGCAGCGGAGCGGGCGTGCAGGCCCTGAAAGCGCGGCCAAGTCCTAACACTTGATCTTCATTCATCCCTTGAGATGGAGGAGGAGACAATGGCAAGAAAACATTTTTCCCTATGTGAAATTAATTTTCATAACCTGTCATTTTAAAATGCCACTATTCAGAAATTTGGAACCCAAACAAAATCATGGAGATTCCTCCCGTGCTGGCTTTTGGGTCATCCCCCACTGCAGGAAGGACCCACACTGGTCTCTGGTCGGCCAGACCCAGCTCAAGGCTTGTGAGGGGGGATGGAGGAGGCAGTGGCTGGAAGCCAGGGGTCGAAGAACAGAGAAATGATGGCAGATGTGGTGTACAAAACAGGGGAGGAGGAGGAGAGGGAACCTACACTGGTGCGGAAGCAAAGCGGGGGCCCGGCTTGTTTCCAGGCACCCGCCCTTCCCACCCGTCCACGGCAAAGGAGGCAGAAACAGGACAAGGAGAGCCTCATAAGGGCGCTTTCTTGCAGCATCCACACGCCTGAGCCAGCTGCTGTGCGTGAATACGAACGCACACTCCGCTGTGGCCTGCACGCACCCGTCCTGGCCTCATTCCTGGTCCCCAGGTGATAATGCTCCCTACAGCAGCCGGCACCTGCCCGCACACCCAGGGAGGGGCCTCTTGTCCAGGGGCACGGCCAGCAGCGCAGTGTACCCAGAAGTGTGGCTGCGGCGCCTTTACTCACTTAGGACGGGCCTGTCTCTCCCCCTGGTGGCTGGAGAAGGGAACGGACTAAATGTCATAACTGGGCTGCTGAACTCAGAACTGTGTGGCTTTGATTCACAAACTTCCAAAGGGCTGCGGCTAATAGTCCATTACTTGTCGACTGATGGTTAAAATAGCACCTAAGGAAACTATTCTGAAAGGAGCAGCTTGCTTGTGAGGTCACACCAAACTTTCAGGGGTTCTAATATTGTCTGCTTCTGTTTTTCTTCTCTGAAGTTGAGGGAGGGAGGGAGGGAGGGAGGAAGGAAGGAAGGAAGGAAAGAAGGAAAGGAAGGAAGGAAGGAAGGAAGGAAGGAAGGAAGGAAGGAAGGAAGGAAGGGAGGGAGGGAGGGAGGGAGGGAGGGAGGGAGGGAGGAAGGAAGGAAGGAAGGAAGGAAGGAAGGAAGGAAGGAAGGAAAGGAAGGAAGGAAAGGAAGGAAGGAAGGAAGGAAGGAAGGAAGGAAGGAAGGAAGGAAGGAAGGAAAGGAAGGAAGGAAAGGAAGGAAGGAAGGAAGGAAGGGAGAGGAGGGAGGAAAAGAAGGTGAAGGGGTCCTCCTGTCCTCCCTCCTCCCTCCAGACGCCCCAGGGACCTTCCCCAGGGCGGGGTCCAGGGGAGCACTTGACTTCAATGTGGAAACCCAACCGAACCCTGGTGTGCAAGTGACGCTGGATCCCCTTCGCATCCTCTCGCTGTGAGCGGGTAGCAGGCCCTGGACCACTGACTTACAAATGACGACAGATGGGGGGAAAGAGCGGCGAGATTCTGCGGAGGAAACAGCCCGCGCCGGCTGTTTCCCCTCCAGGGAAAGTCCGCTGGCACTCACTCCCGACACTCGTCTGCTTCTCTCTTTCCTACTTGATGTTCTTCAGGAGGGCAGTCCGGGCATTCACAACCGCTTTGAAGGCATCTTCACTGCCGGGAGCTACGCATTTGTCCGGGTGCAGCAGCACGGCGAGCTTCCGGTAGGCTTTATTGACCTCGTCCCTGCGAGGAAAAGCAGCAGAGCTCCCTGGAGTCAGAGGCCGCCCCCCACCCCCCTACACACACACCGCGTTCGGCCAATTGGATGATGTAATAGCTCTCGCAGTCAGCATGGCCCTCCCCTTTCCAATCGCTACCTTTCCAAAGGTGGGACTAGGAAACAAACAGACAACAAACAAATAAATAACATCCAGGGTCAGCAGAAGTAAGGCCTACTTGAATGTGGTTTGGAGGGTAATAATATGGGTGTCATCATTTATAGTTTTAATTTGAACATTTCACCTAAAATGTCTTATGGTGTGCTTGAGTGTGATATTGGTATGTTACAGAATGACATGCTTACAATTTTGTAATAAAAGGGCATTATTTGTGTCAGACCCTGTACAACATACAGATAGAAAAAATATAATGTAAAATGAGTATACAAAGGTGAAGAAAACACTTGGCAAAGGAAAGATCAGATGAAAACAAACAGCACCGGGCACCTTGCTGGCAACCAGGGCAGGCCCTGCCCCGCCTCCAACCAGAACTCTGAATGGAGGGGTTTGGGGGAGGCGTACAGAGTAATTTGAGGGGCTAGGAACAGAGTTTGGGCAAAGTATGAGAAACCAGGTGGGCCAGGGGCAGGGGCAGGAGGTGACAGGCCACAGAGGCAAAACTACAGAGAAGCTAGATTTGATCAACACTGACAACAGTGGGTGTTCCCTGACGAAATGGGGCTGGGAAGGCTGTTTCTTGAAGTTAGAAGTCAGGTAGGAGGTGGTGGCATAACCCAGGCGCGAGTGTCAGAGTGTAGGTTACAGAGTCTGGAAGGGAAGATTAGAGCGGTGGCATGGCGGGAGAACTGGCAGGAGCAGATGATGAGCTGGACACACAGGTGGATAAGATGTAAGGAAAGGGGCTGGAATGAGTTCCGGGGTCAAGGGAGACTGAGGCCCTGGGCAAGATGGTGACACCGATGACCCCAAAGGGACATGGAAAGGGGCACCTGAGAACCAAGAAGAAACAAGAGACAGTACTCTTCTCTGGAGAGGAAAGGAGCAGTAACAACGGGCATTTCTCCACAGGCCAGTGGAGCTCCAGGTGAGAGCAGCTCCAGGTGAGAGCCCTGGGCCTCTGAGCTCCCCGGTGAGCAGGAACTGGCGGGGGAGGGGCCGAGGCCGCCCTCAGTCTCGATCAGGCCTCCAGGAGGCTTCTCCACACCCAGCCACCACCGGGTCAGAGTCTGGCTCTGTCTCTACCAGAGGGTTTTCTTTCCCGCCTTCCTTTTGTGATTGGGGGTTCCCGCTGTCCTACAAGCTGGGTGCTTTCCTGAACGCCCTGGCTTTTCTCCTTTATTTCTTATCAGAAGGACATCTAGTTGGGCTCTGCAAACCAGGGAAATGGTCTTTGACATCTTGGATGTGATGGAAAGTCTGTGTGTCAACCTGGAGAGATGGAGGGCCACAGTAAGAGTTCCCCACTCCTTAAGTGCACGTTCTAAGGCTTTCTCTGTTGTCTGCTCTTAGGGGTGTCCGGAATGTTTCTGCTTTAATCTTGCATGTAGATTTCTACATAGATAATTTTGATACTGGCTAACAAGAATCACACGCCCCCTAAAAGCCCCTCAGTCTCCAGGTCAGAACAGCTTCCTCCCTCTTCCCCACGAGCTGTTCCCCCCACCCAGGGAATAAGGAGAATTTAGGAGAAACAAGACTCAGTCGAGTGTGTGAAAATATATCGATTCTACTGAAGATGAAGATTTTCCTACAGTTCAAGAATAGTAAACAGCACTGAACGAACATCAAAACTCTCTGTAACTTAAAAAATGTTTTAGGTTTTTCCTAAAAGTATTCAATGCCATACAAAATTAGTTTGGTAGACCCAAAGAACAAAGGTAAGAGCAGTGCATGCTGCCCTGGCTGGTGTGGCTCAGCGGGCTGGGTGTCATCCTGCAAACCAAAGGGTCACGGTTCAACTCCTGGCCGGGACACACGCCTGGGTTGTGTATTTGGTCTCTGGTTGGGGCGAGTGCAAGAGGCAACCGGTCGATGTTTCTCTCTCACCTGCTGTTTCTCTCCTTCTCTTTCTCCTTCCCCTTCCCTCTCTCAAGAATCAATAAAAGAAAAAAATTTTTTAAAGAAACTGCATGTTTATATTAGTTAAGGGTGTGGAACTTATGGAGGTCCTGTAAATTCTGGTAGATTCCAATTAACCACAGTGAATAAATAAGAAACCAGAGTTTCTTTTTCCTTAACAAATATTATTCTAACTTAATTCATAAGTAAAGTAATAGTTTCTTAGTTTTGGAGCCAATGTTCCTTGAGGATCCAATGGAAGAATTTAGAATGAGACCATGGAAAGTCTAAAGGGACACTTAAAAGGCACCAGTGAACTCTGTGCCGTGTGCGTGAGGCCACCTGAGCTCCCTCCCGGGGTTACAGCACCCTCAGTGATGCCTGGCAAGTCAAGGGGGGCCAGCAACCACCCTCTGCTCCCCCACCCCTCTCTCCTCCTGGACTTAACCGTGTGCTATGAGACGAAAATGGAGAAGAGATACTTGTGGACAAGGCAAGTTCCAGATGTATCATGTGTGGGGATCAAGGTGAAAAAACAGAAAGGGGGGAGCCGTGGAGAGGGAAGCTGTGTCGCAAAATAAAAAGATCCGAGAATCCGTCAGCTATGATATGCAAGGCAACAGTGTTATGTAGCAAAAATGTGTGAACACAGGAAGTTCTTATGGGAAGATCCTGGGAGTTCTCGTTGCAATGGAAAACCTTTTTTTTTTTCTGTATGAGATGATGGATATTAACTAAACTTGTAACTGTTTCACAATATCTATAAGTCAAATCATTAGGCTGTATCCCTTAAACTATATATACAACACTATATGGGAATTATATTTCAGTAACTTGGAAAAAAGTTATGTAACCATACTGAGCAACGATTTATTCGTGCACAAGCAACAAAGAATAATGATTTATTTATTCCCCCCCCCCAAATAATTCTTTTGGTTAAAATAAAATAAATGCACACAGATGAGGAAGTAGCAGGATTTTTGAGAAAGGCAGACACACACACACACACACACACACACACACACACACACACACAGTGTTCAGGGTCAAGAACCAATTCTACTGTTAACACCTGAGGTTACTAAGTCCCAGTTTTCCAGCTATCAAATGAAACGTTTGGACATGCTGATTGTGAACATTCTTTCCTCCTCTAAAATCCTGTAATTTAAGAATTCTCCTTCATAAGGTATTTTTTAAGATTGCATTAGTTTTGTCCACTAGACAATTACGAGAAGATACATTGCACCTATAATACTGACAGTTGAGCCTTTCTCTGGAACAGAACTCAGCACTGATATCACAGAGCATGGCTTACCTTGAGGCCCCGGGCTTGACCCCCAGCATGTCCCAACTGTCTTTACTATTTCGAATTCTGCGAATGGTGTCGGCTTGTTCTTTGGTGAAACTGGCGCTGCTGTTTGTGACGGGACGTTTCCCGCCATTTTCACATAAGTCAACTATGGACGCATAGAGGGTCTGCGGAAAAGGAAACACACCCACATGGGGCCGACTGCGAAAATAGGAATGGTTTTTAAGCATCATCTTAAAAGATTGTAATAGTCCAATAACTCCTACAATTCATAATAAAGCAAGTATTTCAGAGGTAAAAAATATGATCAAAGGAGTAAAGGAAAGTGTGTTCTGAATGAGTGGATGGAGAATCTCAGCAGAGAACTGGGAACTACAGAAAAGAACCCAGTGCAAATTTCAGAACTGAAAAGTACTGAATTAAAAAATTCTCTCCGTGGATTTAGCAGCAGGTTGAAATCAGAGCAATAGAGACTGCAACCTGAAAAGCTGAGAAAAAATGGAATAAAAATAAATATAACCTCAAGGACAGTAGGACAAAATCAATGGATATATATATATACATAAATAAAGAAATAAAGGAAAAGAATATCTTCCCAAATTTCAGGGGACAACACCTACACACGAATCTGAGAAACTCAACAAGCCCCTGCTTGGCTAAACACGGAGAGAACCGAGCTCGGAGCACAGCTGCTGAAAACCAGGGACAGAGAGAAAGGCCCCAAGGGGGCGTGGCTTGGGCGGGGCAATGACACAACGCACAGAGAAATGAGAGCAAGAGCCACACCGACGTCTCCTGAGCCACAATAGAGGACAGAGGAGAGTGGACTGCCGCCTTTACAGTGCTGATTCCGTTGCTGACAGTTGTTATGCATAACTCTTGGACAAACTGCCACCACTCTTAGCAGCCCTCATGTCCGAAATAAGAATGATACATGACCCACATTTATATTGAGTCTTAAAAGTGATAAAATGTGTGAACTCCTCCGGAATAGTATTTCATACTATTCAAAGGGTTAAGAATTATTATTGCACAAGAGGCACCAACCCACAGAGGCCTAGGTACTCAAAAGAATAGAAACGCGGCAAACCAACATCAACCTTATTTGGTCTTGAAATTGAAGCCCCGGATGCTCAATTCAGCCCGTCAGTCCAGGATGAGCCCTGTCTCCTAACAGAAGGGTGACAGCTGGTGAGCAGAGTCAGCATGGAAGATTAAGTGAAGCCCCGCTCCATGGTTAAGAAGAACTCTTTGTAGTACAGCTACCTTATTTGAAATGCTGAAAATTCCCAAATACCAGACATATTCATAAGAAAAATGCATTATTCATGCCACCACTCACTTCCAAATGGGTTCATAATCACGAGTTAACTTGACTTTATAAGTTTGTGTTTAAATGGCTTCCTCCCCTTAAAAGTATTCAAGACTAGTAAATTTAAAGAAGTGACCATCTATTCCGGTCGCACCGTGAACACACACTTCTACAGCCGCCTTGGTTGCTGAGACCTGATTTTCACGCGTCTGGCTGGGCTCTGCAGTGGCAGGCTCCTGCCCTGTGGCTGCACCCCCGGGGCCATGACACCGGACTGGCTTTGGCACAGCGGTCCTGCCAAAGCAAGGCTTCCATCTGGTTTGCATGCAAACGTAACCAACGGTAGTTTAGAAGACATTCTTTGTCCCATTTAAGTAAGTGTATAATAACTGTTATTAAACTTGATAATCATCAGAATCGCCTAGAAAGCTTTTGCAAAATATAGATTCCTGGCTCCATCACAACATTAAACTTCCAGTAGGTCTAGAAGCCAGCAATCTATATTTTGAAGAATTTCCCCATGTGATTCTGATGATCAGCCAGGTCTGGTCTCGAATAGATAGCAAACAGGTATCTCTCACACACATACATGCACACACACACTCATGTTCATATTCTTCCTCTTCCTGTTTCTCTCACCAGCTTCAGAAAAGAAAGAGCTTATTCTAATGAGACATTCCTTTTCTGCTTCCCAAAAGTTAAGCTTTGGCGCGGAAGCCTGGACACAGGTTCTAAAACAACTCATTGCTGGGTTACCTGGAACATCTCATTAATTCCTTCTCCAGTTTGTGCTGAAGTTTCAAAGTACAGGAACCCTCTGCTTTCGGCCCAGAGACGCCCTTCACTTTCATCCACACAGCGGTGCTTGGCACAGTCGATCTGAAACAGGAAACGGAGGGGCGGGGATGATTCCAACCCTGTCCCACCGGAGAAGGCCCGGGGAGGTCTCTGTTGACTCTTTACCAAGCAAATGCTAGCCTTACGTGGACCCCAGCACTGGAACATATACTACCAGGGCCAAACGGGACAAAAAATTACTAATGTTGGACGTGGACTGATTTGCTGTGGCAAAATGAGCACCTGTGACCGCACTTCCCACTTTCTCCCTGGAGAAAATTGCTGCTCACACTCAAGGGGCGTGGTCTACTTTTCACAGCCTTCCCTAGTCCACTTCGCACGGCAGGACCCACCCCACTCCGATCAGATTAAAGTAATCCTAGGATCCAACTCTCCTGCTGGTCCGCAAGATCATCTCCCAACTATGGCAGCAGACACATTCCAAGGGGATGAGCTCACATTAGCTTCAAGGCTCTCACGCAACAAAAGCAGGGCATACCATTTCAGAAAGTATGCAGGTACACTAAATCTGAGATACTGGGTTTTTAAAAAATCGTTCTTGTTTTAGGGAGACGTTTTGAAAAGTTGTCGATTCCTTTTATTTTAACCAAATAAGGACTTTTTCTCTTCTTTTTATCTGTTCCCCCCAACTCAGAGCTGCACTCGGAGCATTATAAATCTAGAAAGGTGAGCATGCAAGGCGGTTACCTTGTTGGCACACACGACAAACACAATGTTGTCCATGCTCCCGTGAGGCCCCAGGTCTTGCTTCATCTCTGCCAGCCACGCATCCAGGGCGTCGAAGGAGTCTTTCTGCCCGACGTCATAGACCAGCACCGCGCCCTGCGTGTCCTTGTAAAACTCATTGCGGACCTTCGCGTAAAAGAACAGATGCACAGAATCTGAAACGGCGAGCTGGGGGGTTTGGTGATTGTATAAAGATATATCTCAGTCCTTCACTTAGCAAAGTGTGTTCTTTTGTGTATTCACAGTATTTGCTGTTGTATCTCAATATCTGGCCTTTCGGGGGCTTTTTAGAAAATCAAGGTAACATAAAAAAAAAAGGACATGTAATGGAAATAACAGCTTCCTGCCCTACCTTCCTCACCTCTGACTCCACTCTCCGGAGGCAATGGATCTTTAAGTGTTGTTAGTAGGGCTTAAAAGAATACAAGTGACACAAAGTTCTTCTCAGGAACAATTAAAAAGAACTCAAGGCAAAAATGGCACAAATATCAGCAATAGGTACGTCCACCTATATCCTACACCCAAAGCTGGCTTCCCCGGGGTGCCAGGAAGCTTCCCTATGACCGCTGGACCTGGACACCAGCTTCCGAACCTTGAACTCCGAGCCTCGGTAGAGCGCAGCGGCGGAGAGCCCAGGCTCGGGAGCCAGGTGGATCTGGGTTCACACTTACTGACTAGTTGTGTGATCTCGGGCAAGCCACTTAACGTCTCTGCGTCTCAGTTTCCTCATCTGTAAAATGGGGATAATGCCACTTACTCCACAGGCTTATGGTGAAGATTAAATGAGATAATGAAGGCATAGCACCACATGGAGCTTTTTCATGCCCAGAAAACAATGTGCATTAGCACCTTTTCCCTTCCTTCCTTGCATTCACTCCCCGACTGTTCTCCTTTGACGTTTTCATCAGAAATGGCAGCTCACCTCTGGGTCATGTCTACAGTTCTGGGCAGAGGCACCACGAAGCACAGGGCACACTAATGGGGCTGAGGCAATGGCAGGTGCAGTGGGCGAGCAGTAGCACTGATAGATTTGGGGTTTCGGTGACAGAGGCCGTGCATTATATATTCTTTCCAAGATATTCCAGTGTGTTCAGATTCACACTGGATATGGACTGAGAAAATAAAGACATCTCATACACATCAGGCGTGAAGCGCCTATAGCTTTCTGAGCACAGACAACTGGACCAAGAATGTAAGTGTCCGTTAATTAGCAGAAGCAGAGGAAGCTGTCCCCCAAAGGTAAACCCAACAAAATCAGGAAGAATTCGAAGTGATAAAGACCAGGGGCCTTCTCCCGCAGTCCTCAGTCCTCCTGCGCTGGTACAAACCAGGCTCCCCGTCCCGAAACTCCTGCTGCCTGGGCCCCCGTGCGGCACAATCCCCAGGTTCTCCACCGGCCTCTTTCACCAACTCCTCTTCTCGCCACGGCTCCCACTCCAGACCGCCTCCACAGCGCCCCAAGTCCTGCCCGGGCCCCCTTTGTGTCTCTTTTCCTTCTTTCCACCTCAGCAACACCAACCACTCTCACAGTTTCAACTGTGTGAACCCTCAAGGTGAGCCTTTTCATCTCTGCTTCCAGATCTGCATTTCCAGTTAGCTGGGCGCTTCCGGCCAAATGTCCTGTGGGAATCTCAGATTCAGCCTGTACAACAGGAAACCCTCCCATTCCTTCCTTCCTAGACTTTTCCTTCTCTGGAACTTCTGGTGGGGAAAGCGGCAGACCGTCCTCTCAGTCATGTGGGTTGACAGCCTGCTGCTGACCTTTGCTGCTTCCCTCTCCCTTTGCTCAGCAGTCAGACAATCCTGCAGAAGCCAGCTCTGCCACGTTTCTTGTGCCTGTCACTTCTTGTCCATTTTCATTGCCAACGGAAGTCTTCTCTTCAAGTCTTCTAAGTAATCTCCCTAGCAACACTATAAACTGTGCATATTTACCTTTTTAAAACCCCGGCTCAAAAATTCTTTTTTAAATTATATTGTATTGATTATGCTATTACAGTTGTCCTGATTTCCCCCCATTTGCCCCCTCCACCCAGTACCTCCTATGCCCTAAGGCAATTCCCCCATCATTGTTCATGCCCATGGCTCATGCATATAAGTTCTTCAGTTACTCTATTTCCTATACTGTGCTTTACATCCCCACGGCTATTCTGTAACTACCTGTTTGTAGTTCTTAATCCCCTCACCTCTTGACCCATTCCCCCACACCCCCTCCCACCTGGCAACCATCAGAATGCTCTCCGTATCCATGATTCTGTCTCTATTCTTCTTGTTTGCTTAGTTTGTTTTTTAGATTCAACTGTTGATAGATATGTATTTATTGACATTTTATTGTTCATAGTTTTGATCTTCTTTTTCTTAAATAAGTCCCTTTATTACATTCCATATAATAATGGTTTGGTGACGATGAACTCCTTTAGTTTTGTCTGGGAAGCTCTTTAACTATCCTTCAATTCTAAATGATAACTTTGCTGGGTAGAGCAATCTTGGCTGCAGGTCCCTGCTTTTCATGACTTTGGGTATTTCTTGCCAATCCCTTCTAGCCTGCAGAGTTTCTTTTGAGAACTCAGCTGACAATCTTATGGGTTCTTCCCTATAGGTAACTAAGTGCTTTTTTTCTTGTTGCTTTTAAGATTCTCTATTTTTAACCTTTGGAATTTTAATTATGATGTGTCTTGGAGTGGGCCTCTTTGCATCCATTTTATTTGGGACTCTCTGTGCTTCCTGGACTTGTGTGTCTATTTCCTTCACTAAATTAGGGAAGTGCTCTTTCATTATTTTTCAGATAGATTTCCAATTTCTTGTTCTTCCTCTTTTCCTCCTGGTACCACTGTGATAAGAATGTTGGACCTCTTGAAGTTGTACCAGAGGCTGATTATATTATCCTCACTTTTGGGGGGGAGATTCTTTTTTCTTCTTGTTGTTCTGATTGGTTTTTTGCTGCCTTACGTTCCAAATCATAGATTTGACTCTCAGCTTCATCCACTTTGCTGTTGTTTCCCTGTAAATTGTTCTTTATTTCAATCAGTGAATCCTTCGTTTTTGACTGGATCTTTTTATGCTGTTGAGGTCCTCACTAAGTTCCTTGAGCATCCTTATAACCAGTGGGTTTTTTAAAATGTTATTTATTTATTTTTAGAGAGAGGGGAAGGAAGAAAGAGCAAAAGAAACATCAATGTGTGGTTGCCCCTCTTGTGCACCCTACTGGGGACCCGGGCTGCAATCCAGGCATATGCCCTGAATGAGAATTGAACTGGCAACCCTTTGCTTTGCAGTCCTGTGCTCAATCCACTGAGCCACACCAGCCAGGGCATTATAACCAGTGTTTTGAACTCTGTATCTAAGATTGCTTATCTCCATTTCGTTTAGCTCTTTTTCTGAAATTTTGCTCTGTTCTTTCATTTGGGTCATGTTTCTCTGTCTCCTCATTTTGGCAGCCTCCCTGTGTTTGCTTCTATGTATTAGGTAGAGTTGCTTTGACTGCGTGTCTTAGTTGTGTGGCCGAATGTAGTAGGTGTCCTGTAGGGTCCAGTGGTACAACCTCCCCTATCACCTAAGCTGGGTACTTGAGGTATGCCCTTCATGTGGGCTGAGTACACCCTCCACTTGTAGTTGAGCCTTGGCTGCTGTTGGCAAGTCAATGGGAGGGACTTACCCAGGCCAGTCAGCTTCAAGGGCTGGCTGTGACCACTGACCACCAACCTCCACCCTCTGTGGAGGATCAGCTATGCAGGGGCAGGATGGAGGCGCTATGACAAGGTCTATAGCTGTCTACTGGGTGCACTGGCCCTGGCGTTTCCCAGGTAACGCCATTGGTTTTGGTCTTGTCCAAAAACAGGGTTTGAGCTACAGACAGCAAATATTTGACAAAATAGGAGAGATCGAGGCTATTCCGCAGAAAAGCGTCTTCAAAGTGAGGATTTCAAGGAGTTTCTATCAAGCAGGATAAAGGAATGTGAAGGGAAGAAAAACCACAGCGCGACACATGAACTGCCGAAAGGATGACACCAGTGGACTGTGATAAGTGGCACCCAGTAAAAAAGCTATACAGCAAGATTTCCTAAAAACACTACAGACGAATCAAAATGGAATTCAAAAAGTGTTCATGTAACCCACAGGGAGGCAGAAAAAAGAAAACAGAAATGAAAAACAGAAAACAAAAAATAAAACAATAGAATGAAGCCCTAGCATGTAACAATTATTTTAAATGTAAGTAGTGTCGATATACCAATAGATCAAAAAACATGATATGACAATGTGCCGTCTCTATGGAGGCCAGTGCAAATACAATGATATATATGGGCCAAAGTACAGGATAGAAAAAGATGGATCATGTAAACATTAATAAAGTAAAGCAGAAATGTCTATATTAACATTAGATAGAGTAGACCTTAGAACAAAGAAAACTGCCAGAGACAGAGGGTGACGTCCTATAAAAATGCAATTACACAATGAAGACAACGCAACCCTGATGTGAATGCACCAGACAACAGGGCTGCAAACGTGTGAAGCAAAAACTGACCGAAACGGAAGGAGAAGCAGACGAGTCCACAGTGACAGTGGGAGCTGTGGGCTCTCCTGTCCCAGCAACTGATAGGAAACAAATGGAGAGAAAATCAGCAAGGACAAAAAAGAATTCAACACCAGCACTGAACAACAGGATCTAATAACTATTTATAGAACACTCCATCCAAAACAGCAGAATACTCCCAAGTGGAACATACACCAAGACGGACCTTACCGTGGGCCGCGGGGAGGAAAAAAGTCCTTCATGAGTTCAAAGAGTCAACATTATACACTGTGTTCTCTGACCACAGTGCACTCAAACTAGAAATCAGTAACAGAAAGATAACAGAAAAATCTCTAATGCTTGGGAACTTAAACACTTCTAAGTAATCCATAGGTCAAACAGAAAGTCTGAAGGAAAATATATATATATTTTTTAATCTTCACTGGAGGATATGTTTTTATTGATTTTAGAGAGAGAGGAAGGGAGAAAGACAGAGAGAGAAGCATCTATGTGAGAAACACCAATTAGGTGCCCCCACAAGTACCCTGACCAGGGATCAAACCTACATATATGCCCCAACTGGGAATCGAACCCACAGCCCTCTGGTGTATAGAACAACACTCCAGTCAACTGCGCCACCCGGCCAGGGCATGAAGGGAAATAAAAGAATACACTGAATGAATGAAATGAAATACAAATGAAAATTAAAATACAATATATCAAAATTCTCCTCCTAGCTAAGCACTGCTAGGAGGAGACTTTATAGCACTAAATACATACATTAGAAAAGAAGAAAGTCTCAAATTAATAATCTAAGCTCCCACCTTAGGAACACAGAACAAGAACAAAGTAAGCCCAAAGCAAGCGGAAGGAAGGAAATAGTAAAGATAAGAACTGAAGCGAAAGGTCACATTACAAAAGAGCAAAAAGCTTCCTTAGGGAAAACGAAAACCCCAAGGAAGATAAAACAGAAGAGAGTGGTCACGAGATTCCTTCCGAGACGACGTGGGACTGAGAAATGGATACACCGAGCGGGGCTCTCAAAGGTCCCTCTGGTACGCTGCCACGACAGAAGTCACGTTACTTAATTCTGAAGTCCAAGTATGAATGTACCTATCCTTCCGCATGCTCAGCTAAGGTACTAAGTACAAGGCAGCAGTCCTTCGAAGGCTCACCTGTCTTACGCCAGCAACATTTACCTGTTTTTGCACAGGATTTGATGTGGGTTCCTTCAGAAAATTCAGGATCTTGCCCTAAACCACTGACAATACTGGATATGAGTTTTCTCAGAATCCGGCTTTCTTACCTCGTAGAAGAACGGGTGTCCAGCCATATCGAAGATGTTCACCTTGACTTCTCTGTCTCGGACTTGGACCCTGAAATGTTCAGATGGAAGAAAGTCCCAAAGCAGGTCATGGTTTCTACATTCACGTTAATATTACTGGGCACTTAAACATTTCAAAAGTGTGTGTGTACGAAATTTAAAAGAGCTTCTTGGTGCCTCTTCCCGATTCCTCCGGGTAACTTTCACAGCAGGAACCCACAGCATCTTTGTTTTAAGGACACCAACCTGGACCCACATGGAGAAAGTGCTCTCACTTTCCTGCCACTTGCCTGAGGGCGCTTCAGCGTGCACCCCTCACTAGGAAACAGTGGCTCTCACTATGGCACTGAGAAAGATTGATTTGGGACCAGCAGGAGAGAGATGAAGGGGAACAAAATATTTTACCTCCCTCAGTAAGACATCTTAATTACTACTGCCTATACCTGGTTCCCATGCACAGCAGTAATAAAGATCATGTTGTTCACATCTGTTTAATTTTCTGGAGCAATAGTGTTGAGCAATTTTCTTGACCTTCACTTGAGCAATAAAAATAGTCAAATTATTTTCAGAAATTTGAAAATAGAGAAGAGAACAAAAAGGGAAGTAACAATCATTCATATTAGAATTGAACTGCTGTTCACATCATAGCATGGTTGCTTCTAGACCTTTTAAAAAAACCAGTACTGGAAAATGAATGAATAAAACATTACGAATAACTCAAACACTGAAGGAACTGCAACGACAAAAGGTTAAAAGTAAGCCCAAATCATAACACCCAGAAAAAAACCTTCATTAATATAGGTGGAAATCACTGCAGATTCTTTCTGTGCATAGGTAAGGCTAATAAACAAATATTTTAACAAATATAGGATTATACTATTTAAAAAAAAGCATAATATTTACTTTTTATTGAATTTAACAAAAAAAAAACTGAAGTGAACTGAATTACTGAGCTTTAAATATCAATGTGTCCTCACTACAGAAATATTATTTCCTGAAAGATCTCTCTAAGGCTAAAGAATAGAGGTTATTAACAATAAATGAACAAATTGGAGACTTTTTAAAAAAATAACAGGTTTCAGTTTTAGGCAGCATTGCTGCGACTCCCTCCTGTGAAGCAGAGACCATCAAGCACCTTCCCTCACAGTCCCCGGGCTTTACATATTATTTTACATATTATTCATGTTCTCTGTCCAAATTTATAACATCTGCTTTCCGTTCTGAAACCCCAATTCCCAGAGTTGTTTTATATAACTTGTATATTTACATCAAACTAACCACCACTGATCCTCGTACTTGATTTCTTCACTGCTGAACTCTCTACTGAATTTTCATCAAGTGTAAGTAAGATGCATGTTTGTGAAATCAGAATCCGGCTTTATAAAAGAGAGCATGAGAATAGCAAAACAAAACAAAATAATAACAGGATGTGAGAGCATCTGGAGAAGATCTGGTATAATAATTCGTACCAGGAAATTTCACTCTAAAGATATTGCATTTGAGAAAAGATGGAACCGAAACATATGTGAGCCAGGAAGTAATACACATGTGTTCACACACTGACACTTGGAAGAGTCTATCGAATTTAGAAGCCAGAGAAAATGACCTTGAGGAACAAGGTAATTCATTACCTCATGGCGGTGCTCTCCTAAGTTGTGGCCTGAGGACCACCAGCATCACAATTATGGGGAGGGGGGTTGTTAAAAGTGCCCCACCTCAGACCCAGCGAATCAGAATCTTAGTAGGTAGGTCTCAGGAATCTGCGTTTTGACAAACCCTGCAAGTACCTCTCAAGCACATTGAAACGTGAGCTTGACTGTTCTGAAAACAGGACAGAGGGAAGGGCACCTAGTGCTTTCGTGGACCAGAAGAGCACCCCCACCCTTCCTCTTCCCAGTCGTGGTTCAAATGGGCTCAGCCTAGCCATCCCACAGCCAACTGAGCTGGGGAAAAAGCGTCTGTCTCCACCTGATGACTAATTCCCTGGGATTTTTAAACACAGAATACTAGTTTTGGTCCCTCTCTGGGAGTAAAACTTACGGTGTGAGCCTGAGAGCCGCTGGCAGCTGTGCAGCGTTGAAACGTAGAGACAGAGATGCAGTGACAGGGTCTGGCTCTATTCTGTCCCTGGTTGGGCCATCTCTGAGGCCCAGCTACATCCGTGTAATTGGATTATGTGAATTGATTCATGTTTTGTTTTGTTTTTTTGCTTGAGTTCATTTGGGTTGGGTTTCTGTCAATTATCTCCTCCTGACCCACGATGGGATGTCCACCAAAAGAAATTTCAGGCAGAAATGGAATAATCCGCTGAATAACCTACAGTTCTGTGGCATAATATGGTGAATCTCGTCTCTTAGGTGAATAAACTAGCTACTTACATGATTCAAAATAAAACTGCCTTAAATAGAATATCCTACCACATCACTGATGAACTCCTGAGCCCTGAAATGTAGGTACACCTCACGCCACTTTATCTATCTTTTTGAATGTTGCTGTAATTCCGAATCTTGCTAACTTCCTACTTAGATCCATATTTCCTAACAATAACTATCTGTTGAGTATCTACCATGTACAAGCACTGTGCCAGATACCTGGAGATAATTTACACAACTGCCCCTTCTTTGTGGAGCTTAAAATCTAGCAGGTGATATTAAATATATACAAATAATAATAATAACATAAGACAATTTATGATAAGTGCCATAAATAGCAAGAGAAGTTAAATATTTCTGTCATTTGCAACCAAAATGAGTCATGAATGATAGAGGAGGTATTCAGAAGGCCTTATGGGAACAGGAGCATTTGACACCTCGAGGACCCTGACAGGTGGGGAGATGAGGGGACAGGCGACTTCGGGTGGACAGAATGGGTAATGGCACTGAGACAGGAAAGTATGAAGGCAGTTAATGTGGATGGAGAATAAAGTGTGAAAGGAACATAATGGGAGAAGAGGGGAGGGGCAGACGGGGCCCAAAATTGTAAGTGCCCGAGATTCCACCTTGAGGGAAGGTTGTAGAACCTCAGTTCTACTCTTGGGTGGTATTATTTCCTATAATGTAATACCATCTCCCCAAGCTCACCCCCTCTGATTCATCTCCAAATAAATCCCCAATTATACCCAATTCACTCTTCCTGGATCATTTTTTCTCAAGTCAAACAGGCTATTAAGATCACAAATCAATAAAGTCCTCAGAACATTTTCCACAAAATATTTAGACTTTTTAGAGAGAATATTTTGAAATGCTCTAAAAAACACGCCTGCTAATAGGGCCTCCTTCTATAGAAACAAGTTGCCTGAAATGTGACAGCTGCCAGTTGGGCTTGGGGTCAACACCGCCAGCGCTGCAGACCCTGTCCCTAACTCAAGACCTGGAGAGTAGAATGTACTCAGTGATGGACCGATAGGAACCGAGACTGAGGAATGACGTGATCTCTAGTTATCTGCAAAGGTCTCATTCCTATTCTTTCTCAATTTATCTTCAGAGTCTCTATTTTAAGACATCATTTTAGAAGGGTTCTGAATTTCTACGTACTTTATAAGCCCAAAGAAAGGATATACTCACTTTGTGACTCCATAGTCAATTCCAATTGTTGCAAGGTATTTAGACACAAATCTTTTCTCACAGTATCGCTTTATAATACAGCTCTAAAAAGGTGAAAATACATGCTTTTAGTAAGTATTCTCTGAGCACACATACAAAATAAACACATTTCTTCATTAGGGCTTCCTCATTCAACACTACGAGAGAGAAAGCATTTTTAAAAGCCAAAAGTATAAAATAACTGAAACAAAGCTAAAAGTGATTTTAAAGAAAAGTTATGTAAATTCTCCCCTAATGTCAACTAAGGTATGCTCTTAGTTTGGTTCTCAATCCCCGTGATCTTCTCTGTGAAGACCTCTCCTACTGTCCTTTCAACAAAATCACCAGGAAGAAAGTAAACTAATCTTATATGCAATACCTAAACCAGCTCATCCTGCTGACATCCTGATTCTGTTAATAATGCTACCATTTTCCCAATCACAAAGAATCAAAATATTAAAGTCAGCCCTGGCTGGTATAGCTCAGTGGATTGAGTGCAGGCCTGTGAACCAAACAACCACAGTTTGATTCCCAGTCAGGGCACATGCCTGGGTTGCAGGCCAGTTCCCAGCACGGGATGCACGAGAGGCAACCACACATTGATGTTTCTCTCCCTCTCTCCTTCCCTTCGCCTCTAAAGATAAATAAATAAAATCTTTAAAAAATATATTAGAGTCATGTTTGATTCAGAGCCTCTAAATCTTCTTCCGAATGTTCCTTCCACCTTTTTCTCCGTTCCGATTGCCATCGACACCTCTTTGGTTTAGGTCATCATTTACTCCTAGACAACTGTAGGAGCTTCTTTATTCATCTCTTTCTACCTCCTTTCCCCCCAGCTTCAGCCATTATTGCACACCACTGACATCATGTCAACTCAGAAATCTTCAGTGACTTCTCACTGCCAAGAGCTCAGAGTCCTTTGTTGGTTATTCAAGGTCTTCCATAGTCTGGCCCTAATTTGTCTTCTCTGCCTAAACCCTTCTATACAAACTCTCTATTTCTGCAAAGTTCCCCGGGCTCGACTTTAGGAATAAGCTTTCTCTCGTCTTTTCAAATCTTACTTAGGCTTTAAGGCCCAGTTCAAACTCTGCGCACTCAGGTTATGGGAGATCTTGCCTGCATCTGAACTCCCCTAGCACTTTACATATACACTATTACACACCCACACGCTACACATGTGCCATCAGTCACACATTGCCTTGTATTGTTAATTACCTTTTCACACGTGTGTACCTGCCTGATCTCTTCAGCCAGACAATACACCATGTGAGGGCAACACGAGTATTTTTCTTCTTTTTATCTTTTGCAGAATTATCTCAGTGCCAATGAAAAACCAATTTAAAATGCCTTATATATTAATAATAATCCTTAGCACTCATGAAACTTAGAATTTCCTTGAATTGCTGGTAGTGCAGTTTCTTGTGCTTAAATCCTTTCCTGATGAAACTCAGTCCGAATTAAATAGGACAGTTACTATAAAAAGGAAGCTCACTGTGAATGGAAGGAAACGCTTGTTTGAAGTGACAACTGCTATGAGACTACGCTTTAAAATCACATTATAGCTTGAAAGGACATCACAAATGTTTTCTCACAATACACTAAAAAATGGACAGAGTGGGTCTTTCTGGAGAAAGACTTTATTCATGAGATTAAGGGGCCTGGAAGTCCTTTAACTCCAGCACACTATTTATACACTAGTCCAAAGTGTGTAAAGAACACACATTTAAGTAATAGTGTTAATAGCTGCTCCCTGTAACACAAGGTGACAGGTTCTGGGTCCTCAGGCTCTTAGGGGCCAAGTCAAATGACATAAAACAGGATTTTTTTTGCTTTCCCTATTTTTCTCAAATAGACTTTAAGGCACTTTTCTTTTTTAATGTAAGTCCAACTAAAACCTTAACAGGTTTGAGTCTTTTTTAAAAAAAAAGAATTATTCTAAAATTCATATGAAGGAACAACTGAGAACTACTAATCAAAGTAAGAAAAACAAAGAGAAATTTGCCTTGACAGATATTGAGATATAGACTGGAACCAATTAAGAGAGTATTATATTGGCATAAGAGTAGACAAATAAGTCAGTAGAACAGAACAAAGAGCCCAGAAACAGATCCCACTACGTAAGGAAATTTAAAAAGTGATGAAGGGCACATTTCAAATCAATGGGGGAGGATGACTTATTTGGCAAAATGCTACTGGCACAACTGATTATCCATCTGGAAAAAAATTAAGTTGAGCCCTTAACGTCCCTATTATACAAAAATAAATTACAGATGAATTTATGATTTAAGTATCTAAAAATAAAACAATGCAAATTTCAGAAGCAAATGTGCAACATGCAGATAGCCTGAGCAAAACCTTTTCAATCAAGAAAGGAAACCCAGGAACCATGAAAGAAAGGACAGACATAATAGAGTACACATAAATAATAACAAAAACTTTTGCATGGCAAAATATCTGTAAGAATATTAAAAGATCCATTCAAGCTGTTGCAAAGGGTAGGAGCTCCTTCTTTCTTTCTGCTGCATAGAATTCCATTGTGTATATCTGACCATAATTATACACAATGGAATTGTATGCATTATGCTGAGTGAAATAAGCCAGGCGGTGAAAGACAAATACCATATGATCTCACCTTTAACAGGAAGCTAAACAACAAAACAAACAAGCAAGCAAAATAAAAACAATGACACTGAAATAGAGAACAGGCGGACAGTGATCAGAGGGGGAATGGGAGGGAATTTCAGGGGAAAAAGGGGAAGGATTTACAGGAACTAGTATAAAGGACACATGGACAACAACTAAGGGGGGGAGGAAAGGGGAGGGAGGTGGGGAGCATGGGGCGGGGGCTGGGTTGGGAGTAAAAGAATACTGTACTTGAAAAATAATTAAATGTAAAAAATTTTAAAAAAGAATATTAAAAGATAAATAACATACTTGGGCAAATATTTGTAACTAATAGGACTGGCAAAAAGTTAATGTTTCCAAAGCAGAATAACAGAGTACAGGAAATAAAAATGGGGCAATACACAGGAGAGCAAATCCAAATCCCCAATAAGCATAAGAAAAGATGCTTCACCTCACCTGTAGGCATGAAACACAAATTGAAGTAACAATAAAATGACTCCTCACTAAGGAAAAGAACCACAACACCTGTTTAGGCAGAGCCGTGGGGAAAGGGTGCCTGCGTACTAGTGGTAGAAAGACACTGTTTTGAAGAGCAATCAGCATAACTCCTAAAAAAAACTATGTTTACACTGTAGTGTGGTCTATTAAGTGTGGTCAATAGCATTATGTCCATAAAAACAATGTACATACTTCAATTTAAAAACATTCTATTGCTAAAAAATGCTAAATATAACTTGAGCCTTCAGCGAGTCACCAGCTTTTTGCAGGTGGCCTGACCTCCAATGTGTAAAAAACAGTATCTGTGAAGCCCAGTAAATCTAGGTATGCCTATATGTATACACACACAGACACACACTGGTATTCACTGAAAAACTGTGGCAGGGAAAAAGCTGGAAGTAAAGTGAATTCTCATCAGTGGGGGACTACTTGCATATCATGTACGATTATGCAACCCTGAAGAAGAGTGAGTTGTCAGATAACCTGGAGGTACTGCCATAATCTATTGTTAAGAGAGAAAGGCGAACTCCAGAGAAGTATACAGTGCAATACTGTAGGGAATACTACAATAGGTAGGGAGAAGTATATCCTACAATACAGTATGGTGGGGGGACTTCTGACCTCAAGTAAGAGAAACCCCAATTCAATAGGAAGGTATTTATTTACTGCAAATGGAAATATAGAATTAGGGCAAGCTTCAGAGTTGGTTGATACAAAGATTCAGTGGTGAGTTTATTAGACAAGCTCAGGTCCTAGAGGACCCTGAGAAACTGGGGCTGGGGCTCTGGGAGCAGGTTGACTGCCAATGCTGAGAGATGAACTAGATATAAACAAAATGCACAGAGAAACTTCAGGATTCTCCCATAGTGGGTAGTAAGCCCTTTGGAATCTCCTTTTTCTTACTGTATCTCTAGAACCTAAAAAAGCAATGCTGAAAAACAAAGGAAAATAGCAAGTATCCTTTTTTTGTACCTATACTTCATGCAAATGGCCTTAGCATTTTACCATTTGGTAAGTTTGCTGCTGGCTGATAATAAATATTGTTTTATCATGGAATGTTTATTAGAATTGACTACTTGATTATATCAAATGTTTTTACAGTACATACCATAAACATTTCCTCCAGTAATCAGCTGATATAACAAATTACATTGATTGACATCTTGATATTGAACCATGTTTGCATTCCTACGATAAACCCTACATTCTAATAGTGGATTGTGTTTGATATATTGCTGAATTCTCTTTGTCGACATTTAGAAATTATGCATCTCTATGTATATGTGAATTATACAAGTAAATTGACATATACTTTTTCGTTGATACTATATCAAGTTTTGCTGTTTAGGTCACCATGATTTGAAATAGTAAACGAGTTCTGTTCATATTTTTCTTTGTCTTGGGGTGACTTAAGAAAGTGAAATTATGTGTTACAGAAAGCTTAAATAATGCTTACTCATGAAGCCACCTGATCCTGACACCTTTTTAAATCATAAATCTCTTTATTTCTTCTGTAATTTCTTCTGGGGTAACTGGTCAATTGGACTTTCTGAGTCAATTTTGGTAATTTATATTTTGCTAGGAAATCCTCCATTTCCTCTACATTTGCAAATGTGCCCCCACAGAACTGCAGGTAGTTTTCTCTAATCATTCTTTTCATCTCTTCCAGAATGTGACTGGCTCCTGTTCAGTACAAATCTTGTAATTTTCTGCTTTCTCTATTTTTTCTTAAACAGATTTTTAGGCACTTTTCTTTTTCATTCATTTTTCCAGAGAATTCCCTCTCTCTTTGGGCTTATTTTGTGTCCCTTTTCTAATGTAGTAAGTTCTTTTTTAATTGAGATGTACCATACTATAAAATTCACACTTTTAAAGTGTATACCTCCATTCACAAAGTTGTGCAACCATTAAATTCCTTTAGTTTTTCCCTCTCTTCTTTAGAAATGAATAAAATAATGCACTTCCCTTTGACTGCAGCTTTAACTTTGCACTGAAGATTTTGGTATAGATCTATCCTTTTAATTGCTTTATAGTTATTTTGTCATTTGCCTTTTGATCCAAGGATTATTTACAAGAGCATTCCTTAATTTTTAACTTCATATTTATCTGTTATATCTTTTTATATTTTCCAAATTCTATAGAGTGAGTTTGTGCTACTATTACAACTAAAGAACAAAAAATTTAAGTTACATTTAAGCCTTTTATTTACCTAAAATTTATTTTTGAGAAAGAAATGCAATAGGAATCTACTTCCAAACAGTAGGTACTTATCCCAATAGTACTTATTAAATGGTCCCGATGTTCCCATAATTTAATTACATTTGTTGTAAACTGAATTTCCTTATATGTTTGGGTTTATTTCTGGACTCCATTGTATTCCACTGATGTCTCTATATTTCCTTTCCAATATCAACAGGAAAATCTTAGTAATTTTAAAATGTGTTTTAACATCTGGTAGTATTACTCTCCTCTCATTTCTTTCTTAACAATTTTCTTGGTTATTCTCAGGTTTAATTTTTCATAAGAACTTTAGTACCTTTTATGTTGTGAAGAAAAAAACCTGTTGGTAATTTAACTGGAATGGAATTACATTTGTGTATTATTTTAAAGAAATGACATCTCAACAATACTGAGTGATCCTAATTAAGGAGAAATATCTTTCCATTTGTCTAAGTAATTTTACGTCCCTCATAGAATCTGAATTTTTCTTCATAAAGGTCCTACCTATTTCTTCTCAATTTTAAACCTAGGCACTTTATTTGGGTTTTCCCTGCAAATTAAAATACTCCTTTCAATGAGATATTCCAAATAATTATAATCTTGTATAATAAAGCTATTAATTTTTGTATGTTTTCCTTATTGAATTTTCTCATAGTTTCTAATAGCTTTTCTCTTTGGGTTTCTAGTTAAACAATTATATCATTAGCGAATAATGATAACATTGCCTCCTTCTCTCTAGTACTTCATACTTTACTCTCTTATCTAATTGCACTGGCTAATAAATCTAGAACAATGTGAAGTGAGTGTAGTGACATGCATTTGGGGCTATTTCTTATGTTGCACCATTAAGCACAGTAAAGTTACAAAAGTGATGCCTGCGCTCTTTGCCAGTTTGGTACATAACCTTCTAGAGGCATTTTATTCTCTTCTTTTCAATGCCTGGCACACAGCTGATGTTCAGTAAATGTTGCCTTTCGGTGAATGCTATGTTAGTACTTACATACATCCACACAGATACACAAATGGTAAAATGCTGCTAAATAGAAAGAAAAGACACTGATAAACATTGAATGAGCATTAACCATGTGCAAGGCACAGGCTCAAACCCTCTCATTCAGAGCTCTTTCAGCACAGAGGTCCTGTTCCCAGTTGATTTTGACAGAATGCACACCGTGGAAAGAGCTCTGCAGTGGGAGTGTGAAGACCAAGGTTCTAATCCTGTCACTGTCACTAATTCGATGACCTTGAGAGGTTTTTAACCAACAGCTTATCCAGGAGAGACAATGTGGGCAAAGAGGAGGCAGTCTTAGAAATCATTCAGGTAAAGACCTCTGTCACCTCTTGCCCTCCAACCCCCCTGACACCCCATGCAATGGGAGAGCTTATAGCAGATACCCAGTAGACTGAAAAAAGAAAAAGGCAGTGGAACTAAGGCATCTTTGAGGGAACGGACGTGGTGACACTACCAAAAATAAAAAATAAAGCAAACATGCACAACAAAATAACCCAGGCTCCTTGACATCTATTGAACCTCTCTGTGAAACATCTCATCATCAGTTATGCTATTTACGCCTGAAATGCTGGATTCTGGGCTCCAGGTCTGCAGAGAAACATTTTACAAATCCCCAATCCCCACGGGAAAAGTTGCCTTTGGCGCCCAAGCACTGCCTGGTGCAACTAAACTTTTATTCTCCATCTCTAAGTCCTGGATGGGTCACTGAGAACACAGAAATGGTATCTAAGTAGCCAGTATGACGTTAGGATCTAGGCCTCCTTCCGTTAAGGGCCACGGGATCACTTTAGGAAAAGTGACATCGATGGAAGAGGTGACAACCAAAGGTCAATAAGGTCAGGAGAATTTTCCTCAAGGAGTCCCATCTCCCAGGGGAAGACCCGGGCCTTCTCAGGGGCGGGGAGGAGGCTGGGCCCTAGGCTGTTGAGTGACCGCCCCCCCAGCCAATCAGCACGTCACTCCGTTGAGCTGAGGTCCCGCCCCTATAAGCACGGTACTCACTTTTCCCACTTCTGCGTTGCCCATGGAGATGACTTTGATGCGCAGGGACTTGCCAGGCTCCTTCCGCTTTGGCATGCTGGCCTCCATTGCCCTGGCTCTCTCGGGGCCACACGCCTCAGTTTCTCCCTGTTCACCACGCTGGCCTGTCCCTCAAGCCTTCTCATCCAATGGCGGAACCGCTGCTATCGTCATCGCCGGGACTCCAAGTCTCGCCATCCTTGCTGCTGCGCGGTGGCAGCAGCGAGGGCAGTTGGGAGAGCTGGGCTGAGGGGAGGGGGGGCAGTGGAGAAAGAGTCTCGCGATGACAGAAGGGGGAGGCGTGACGTCATTGCCAGGCCCTGGAGTTGAGTTTGTGGTTATCTGAACTTGGGATGGTGATCCAGAGAGAGTACCTGGGCAGGTGGGCGGCCTGCAGGGGTGGCTGGCCTGCAGGAGTTTTCTCTTCGTGGAGCGCGCGGCGTTGTGTGCGGGGGGGGGGGGGGGGGGGGGGGGGGGGCACCAGGACCTGGGCATTTGCCAAGTGGTAGAAATTTATTGGCTCTTTAGGGTAGATCCTTCTGCTGGGGTCCCCTGGAGTTAGGGTTAATTAGACCATGGTTTCTTTAGAGTGTTTCTAGATTCTTCCCTCCACACTGGTCCACTCACCTCTCACCTTCCAATATTATGTTTCCCCTGCTCTCGCTCCCCAAGAGGTAGAGTCAGGAGCCAGGGAAATGGGGAAGTTGGGACCCTAGTTTGGAGTTCCAGGACCCTAGAAGAGGGGTTGGTCAAAAATAAGTGTCTGCCGCCAATCCAATGCCAATGTCGCAGGTGGACACAGGTAACCAGGTTCCTGGTGATTGTGACAAAAAAATTGAGCCAAACACAGAATTTATAGCAGAAAGAGAGAGAGAGCAGATTTATTAAGCAATAGTGCACTCCACAGAACATGGGAACAGACCAACTCCGAGTAGGGGTTGACCTCAGGTACTGGAGAGATTCTATTCTTACAGATCTGGTATTCCTGGCTAGTTTGGTGGGGTTTTATTGTGCATAACTATAAAATAGTTATAGTTATGCACAATAAGTTATACTTATTCCCAGTATAACTAGAAATAGTTATACTACTTTAAAGCTACTGCACATGTGGTCTCCCATGATTTTCCTTGATTGGAAACCGGGGAAGGGGCAGGGTGTCCCACAATGTGAATTTATTATAATGCTATTATAATGAAGCAGGGGTCATGCAGCATCTTCTGTACAGGTGCATTCATGATTCACCATGATTCAGTGCTTTTCCAGAAAGTGGGAACAACTGGTTTTAGAACGGGGTCTCTGTCTTGTATCCACGTCCTTTATCATAGCCCTCCGATAACTCCCAAGTTTCCTCCCTCCCTCCTATCTCCATCCCCACCAATAAGAGTCCTCGGTCTAGGGTACAAAGTAGTCTTTATTCAGGTGAACTGCTCACAGATTGAGGAAACACAGCCACCCAAGAAAACCAAAGAGGCACTCTTTCCAGCAGTGGGGAAGGGAAGGTCCTCTTTACAAGGAAAGTGGCTATCCTGGTTCCTGATTGGTACATTTTTGTACAAATAAGTGATCCAAATGTTCACAGTTTAATGGGTCCAAGTAGCACTGCCCTGATTGGTCAGAATTGTGCATTCTGATTGGTTGTTATGGAGCTGATCTCATTGGTCAGTAAAGATGCAGATGATTATATAGCTGTTCTGTGCTGGTTGAATGGGCAGATCTTAGCCCATTGGTCAAAATACAATTCCAATAACTTCTTTATAAGGTGCTATTTGGGCAGGAAAACAGTGCCAGGAGGCTTGGCAGCTCCATCTGTGGCTTCCCTGATATGCTGAGTGTGTGTGTGTGTGTGTGTGTGTGTGTGTGTGTATGTGTGTGTGTGTGTGTGTGTGAGAGAGAGAGAGAGAGAGAGAGAGGCCACTGTAAATAGTGGCTGCTAGACTCTAGATTATGAATTTGGACCCAGTTAACCCCAAGGAGTCCTTTGGGCAGGTACACCCCTTCTCAAGTTCAACAGGCCTGAGGCAAGCTCTCAATCCCATTCCTATCATTAAAAAAAAAATAGGTTGTCCATTTAGAGTCAAGATCGGGTCAAGCTTAGTCCTTACTCTTTTATTATGTAGTTCTAATCTGTAAGAGGAAGGCTCAAACTAGACTTTTCTTTCCCTCTGCCAGTGTGTCAAGGTGTGTGTGCATGTGTGTGTGATTGTAGCTGTAAGTGCCTTCATTTTCCTCCTCTCCCCGACAAACTTTGCCCCATCTTCTATTCTCATCCCTCTTTCAGTTCACAATAAGGCAGTAAAATTATAGTGAATTCTAATATGACCACTTTTATAGTCTCTTATTCCAAGAGATAAGAAAAGCATTTGCTTAATAAAAATCTGTCTGAGAGGAACTGTAATTTTTTTGAGTCAATATCTTCAGTAACAGAGGATAACTGGAACTTGACAAATGATTATTTAGTGCTCTGAGAAAGAATGGCTGCCAATTTCCCAGTAACTTACGAGGGAAAAGGTAGTATTGCTTGTGTTCCCACATAGCTTTAAACATCTTAAATGCATTGTAGGAAGACCGTAAATAAAGGCTCAAAATTTCATGATAGTTATTTAAGTTAGATTTTCAAATATTTCTATTTAAAATTTAATTTTAAAACATTATATGCCTTTAGAGAAAAAAGCCTATTCTGGATTGTTTTCATAATCAAGTAATGTAACACTTCAGTGAAGCTTCTAAAATTCTTTACAAATATGAAATGTAAGTCATGGTTAGAGTTTTGATGGCTTTAAGCTTAAAAGAATTGGATTTAAACTGATTCTCCAGATGCTGATCTCTTAGTGTGATGTAATAAAATCAGGAAACATGTTTCTTTGGCAGTTTACCTTTGACCCTGTAATAGAACTGTATTGTAGTAGAATAATTGCAAAATGCCAAGTCTTTAACTATAAAGACTGATTAGGCACACTACTCTTGAGCATCAGGGCAATAAAACATGCCAAAGTTTAAAATTTTTTGCTCTTCTTTCATACTGATGTTTTTAAGGCTTGAATGTGAATAGCCATATTTCCTACTGGGTGTGTTAAATCAGTATGGAATTGAAAAGGCAAGAAAGTAGCTTTCTTTTCCGGTCTTGAATATAGGAAGGGAAAAGAGAAGCATGGATTCACTGCGCGTAATATGGAGCTAGGAGATGTGTGGGGGTCAGGAGCGTGCATGCTCAGTCAGCTTGGCCACGCCCCATGCTGGCGTGGTGCGGGCCTGTGGTGCTGGGAAGGACCGCAGGAGATGGTGTCCGCGAAGCACATGCCAACACCCAGTAAACAGCAGCCATATGCATTCACTTACTCATGTTTTCTTTGTATTGACCCATTAAGAAAGATTCTATGTATTTTAAACCTGTACTTTAAAAGTAAATTAGGAAATATATTGGGCATACTTAGAGATATAAAGAATAACATCATGAATACCCATGTATCTATAACATTGTGGAAGAAATAAAACATCACAGCTACTGAGTGTGCTCTTCCCCAGTACGCCCCCGCCCCTCTCTAGAATAGGCTGTAACTATCTGAATCAGTGCTTTTCATTTCCAGGCATTTAAAACTGGCTTTACTACATATGTGTAATCACCTTAAAATGTGGCATTGGGTTGTATTTTTAAGGAATACTTATTTTGAAATAATTCTACTCTGGAAAGTTTTAAAAATAGTAGGAACAAAGTCTTATATACCATTTATCCAGGTTCGTTAATTAACATTTTGTCTTGTTTACCATTTCAATTGTTCTATGTATCTATTCATCTATCTATCTACATGTTTTTTTCTGAAACACTGGAGAGTGATTAGTGGATGTGTTTCCTTATCCATAAATCAATGTTTATTTCCTAAGACAAGGGCTCTCCCTCACATAGCAACAGTATATTTACCAAAATCAGAAAAAGGGGGTAAATACAGAGATAAGACAGCTCTATTACCTGATCCTGTGGTTCTCACACTGTGTGCCAAGGTCCCCTGTAGCTCCACAGTGAGTTCAGTTCACCGGGGGCTATCTGGGGTATCGTACAGTCTAAATTAATTCTCAAGGCAAACAAAAAAACTAAGACCATACAAACCTACTTGTTTGAGGTTGTTTACAATTTCTGCAGTAGATGGCGCCATATTCCTTATATATGTTGTATATTTGAGAAGCTGGGTTTTTGGGAGACTGTGATAAAAACCAAGTACAGTGCAAAAATCAGCGTGGAACAGGAAATTAGGGTGGTCTTGTCCAACCCGATTCCGAGGGTCGGGCAGTTAGGCAGTGCCCACCAGGTGCACAAATTGCATTAGTAAATAATTGTGGTTAAGAATGAAATAGAAAGTCTTTTCATTCAATTGACTTGTATTATTTTTTTTCAAATAGTAATTAAATTGTTAGGGCATAAATACTTGGCAAGTTGTTGGGATCTAGATATTTCTTTTGGCCAAGGAAGACTGTGAAAAGCATGACTGAGACACAGGACATGCCTTGAACCAAGAATATTGGGGAAACTTTGATCTGACTCACAGATCATATTCAAATTGCACCATTTGTCCCTAAAAATCCTTTATAACTGTGTCTCCCACCCTCTCGTCCCTCACCCCTTGGTCTGGAGTCTAATTCAGCATCATGTAGTTGTCCTGATTCTTTAGTCTTTTACCTGGTAATGGTTCCTCAGCTTTTCTTTGTCTTCCAAAAGGACAGGTATTTTTATACCCAAATACAAGTATATTCTTCATTTTGTGTTTGGTGTGTTCTTGTGATTAAATTCAGTTATGTTTGACTGTAATATCACAGAAAACACAATGTCCTTTTAAGGGCATCAGTATCTGAAGGTTGGTGATTCAATTTGTTGCATGAACTAATGATGTTAACTTCAGTTAGTTGGTTAAGCTGTAAGGCAGAGTTTGTTAGAGTGAGTTTCTCCCTTTGTCATAAGTACTTTGTAAGGGGGTATTTTGAGATTATATAGATATCTTTTCTTCATTAAGCTGTCACAAACATCACCACAAATCTAATGATGATTCACTGATGAAGGTATTATTACCACGACAGATGCAAAATCATGATTTTCTAACTCCATAATTCCTCCTACATGTATTACTTGGTATTTTACCTTAAGGGAGAGCTTTCCTTGCTCATTCATTAATTTATTAAGTTGTATTGGTATGGACTCGTATGTGCTTGTTTTACTTCATGAATATTGCTTTATTACTATGATTCATTTTG